ACTACTACTACTACTACTACTACTACTACTACTACTACTACTACTACCACTACCACTACCACTACCACTACCACTACCACTACTACTACTACTACTCCTAGCTGCTGCTGCTACTACTGCTGCTGCTGCTGCTACTGCTGCTGCTACTACTGCTGCTGCGGCTGCTACTACTGCTGCTGCGGCTGCTACTACTACTCCTGCTGCTGCTTTGGGGGCGCGGCTTTGACACAAACTCTACCCGTAAAAGGCAAAAGTTTGGTGAAAGTTCAGCTCAAGATTGGCGAAGGTTCACCCTGCCACATTTGACCCCTAGCCCATTATGAGCATGTCTGAGCGACCGGCTACCACAGTGATTCTTGCAATTTTTCCCGAAACAGTTTACTGTTGGGGTTCTATCTAAGAAAAATAGAGCTGGCCACACTCACTGGCCGCGCCCCTGAACTCTGTGGCTGGACTCTGTGGCCCGGCTCTGTGTCCGGGACTTGTCTTCCTCTTGTCCTTGTCTTGGCAGCGCCCCTGAACTCTGTGGCTGGGCTCTGTGTCCGGGTCTTGTCCTTGTCTTGGCCGCGCCCCTGAACTCTGTGGCCCGGCTCTGTGTCCGGGCGTGCAGTTCCCAAACAGCATTCCCAAACAGCTGGAGGTTTTTGAAAAGTATACTTGCAGTCGTTTTCGGAGTTGACGCCGACGCCGAAAGAATGCTGACGCTGTTTGGGGTCTATGCTGGTATAATTGGTTCTTGCAGACACCCAGGAGAAACAAAAGAGATGTACAGGGTGTCAACTGTTAAGTAGAAGACACACGTTGACAAACAGTGAAGTTTTTGTTTCATATCTGCCAGTACAGAAGAAGCCATCGACAAGAAAAAATGATATCCGTCATACAACATACATGGTAAAAACAAATACAACATACTTCGGCGAAAAGATAAAACGCAGGAAGGCGAAAATTTGGCTAAAGTAATTTTTTGGATGACGGATCCCGGGTGAAGGAATTCTTAGATCAACACTCATGTATTGATCACACCAAGAACATGCTCGACCCACTTTCGTGATAGTGGTTCACTTGCGGTTTGCTGTATGTATGCTGAAAAATCATGCATTATCATTCAACTGTTTGCTTTCAGCGTTGCAGACATGTTGAAGCATACAGGGGGTTTCCCCAACCCCAACCAACTGTTTACGCTAGGCTGGCGCTAGCAATGCGCTAGAGATGCGCGAACAAAGACTTCCGTGTTAGAATGCATACCCAAAAGTGCTTCCAGGAAAAGTTGACAAAGCTACACTGATCAATAATAGGGGGGGCTGAGCTGAGCACCTTCATGCCTGAAGACCAAACTTTTCAGCATGCATCCTTGTTGGAACCCCAGATCGACCGCTATGAAGCAGAGCTTGCCAAAAAGCGTACCACGGGCCTTCGCCAAAGGCAATTCATCCGACAAAAGCTCAAAGATTAGCACACTTCCAGCTCCACACACTCCCGAATTCATCCTCCTGGGACAGTGATTAAAATAGTGCGCAGTAGTGAGCATGGTGAAGATTGCGAAATCACGAGATGACATGCCAGCACTGGTCATGCCAAAGCCGCTCGGTCTTCAGTAGGATACACGTGGTTTTTGGCAGGTCGGACGCGTTGAATGGGATTTGAACGACCGCGACCACTTCATCGATTTTCACGTTGAACTACCAGAGCCAGAGCCAAAGGACAGACTCATGTTGTATGCTCCTGTTGTTTCTGACAAAGCCCACGACCCGGTGACCGGTCGCTGACGTCGAGAAAGGCTTGCCCAAACAAACCCGTGTGCAAGTGTGTATGTTAAGAAATCTCCTCAGGAATCCGGCATCTGCTTTGAACGCCTTGAGCTGGTACACGAGCCTCTCGAGCCGACTCGAGCCAGGCGAATCCTTAAGCAGCAAAGATGCACTCACGAAGTCACGAAAAACAACATCTTTTTCCGAGGCCGGCCTACCGGTTGTCTACCATGGTACACCAGTGAAATGTGTGCCCAGCATCCTGATGCATGGCGCGCAGCCATCCTGTGCCCGATGCCCAGCAAAATCAGTGATTTTTGAAAAGCTCGAAAGGCCCGTCCAAGCATTACCGGTCAAGCAGATCGCGGCAAATTACTATGCCGCAAACACCAGGCAGGCAGGGACATGATTGATGTAGTTTGTTTCTGTGCGAGCAACGCCGTGACCTTAGGATATCAACGCACCACGGGCCCTACGTGGAAGCAATTTTTATATTGCAGCCACGCGTCAGAGGCCTGAGGAATTCCATCAGGCTGAGTACTCGACCTTGTCCGAGGAAGACCTCTGTCAGAAGCTGACTGAGCAGAGGTTGAATCTCAAGAGATAAGGGAGTCATTGACCGACTGGGAGTTTCTCGGAATGGAAAGAGAAGGTTCTCAGGACATCACTTTGTTTGCGCCCAAGTCCGTTGAGGGAGTGTTTGTCGAGGACAACCAGGCCACGATTCGGATCTTCGAGTCTGGCAAGTCCCCGGCCTTCAGACAGATTGACAAGACCCAGAGGGTTAATCTTTCATGGCTGGAGGAGCAGTTTGGAAGAAAGTGGTATAGATTGGTCCATGGCCCCACTGTTCTGCAAGCTGCAGACATATTCACTAAACCATTTACCAACTCTGAGAAATGGGGCTCGGCATTAAAGCTTTTGTCAATTTGGGACAAGATGCCAAACGCCACTGACTCGATGCAGGTGCCTTCGACGCCTGCCAAGCCGAGCGGGGGCGGAAGCTCTCGCCGAGCCTGAATCTCGGAGATTATTGATTGAAGTTTGCTGTGAGAGCAATTCCAAACTGAGTGATAAGTCAAGGGCTGCGCTGCTGAAGGGTGTCGGGTGCTGCAATTCACGGAAGAGTTTGACTTCAACTCCAGCAACAACCGTAACCAAATCGCATCAGCAGTCCGACAGCGCTTGAAGACCAATGATGAGAAATCTGTGCTCATCTGGGTCAGCCTCCCCTGTACGGGGGGCACCCCGTGGACATATGTAAATATGAAACACCCCACGGGCAGCAGAAAGGTGAAACTGCACCGGAGAAAGTCGCAATGCTATGGTCGTCACTCGTGGAATTTTTGTCTGCTTTTCCTGATGGAATACGTGTAGCGATCGAGTGGCCGAGGGGATGTACCTACTGGGACTTACCCACGGCCAAGAAAATGCTTGCCAAGCTTAATCTTGTCGCCTATTCGTTTGATGGATGCGCTGATGTATTGCCCCTTGCAGTTTTGCTGCGCCATGAACAAAAAGAAAAGCAACATGCTGCAGTCGGCCGGCAAATTTCGCCCAAGCGGCGCGGACACCTCGGGGAGCAATGGATCTATACGAGGGCGCCTCCGATTTGGCAATCAAAGGCAAGCTTAGCCACAGAGATATATATATGCTTTTGAGTTGAACCAACAGCTCTTGCGGAGGCATTGTTTCTTTCGTGGAAGGCCGCTTGATAGAGTCCGCAGCGCTCTTGCCATGCCTAAGTTGCCTTGACATCACTGTTGACCAGCTGCAGCATGATTTCGGCATAATCGGGACTGTTACGTCCGTGGAGGCACGCGCTCTTCGACTTTGCTCTTTGTTGGTTTTTGTTTTCTTTGTCCTTCGAAGCAGGTGCTGCAGCAAGGGCAATTATATATTCGGTGGCAACGGTGAGATATGGGGCCAAACTTGGATATTGCTTGGACAAACTTTGCCAGCAGATCCCCCATGAATGAAGCCTTAAAATTTATGAACTGACGGTCCTTTTCTCTTATATGAAATGCAAATTTTAAGAGATATTGCATAAACATAAGGGTCTGTATGTTTGCAACATATTTTGGATAACTACCTAAGATCTGGAGTATCGATTTACTCAGGTCATTTAATAAACTTCAGTACCTTGGAGACTGAGTGACAGTAATAGATGGCAGGTGAACCCACAAATATCACTTTATAGGGATTCAGCTGGCGAGGTGTCGGTGGCTGGTCAAAAGTTCTGGACTGGAGTTTGAACTGGTGTTTGGATTTGATTTCTTGAAACCAATAACTTTAATTGTATAAAGCTACGGATGTGGCATCAGACGGACATTTCCTGATTCACAATTCTGATTCCACCTATTTTTTTCTCTACGCTGGTTATTATATTTACAAACTAGTTTGTTTTTCATTTTATCAACCAAAGCACCTATCCCTCACATGTTATAAACACAAATGATTCATAAAATGAAAAATCGAGCCACCTATGAACAATCAAGGGGGATGCCAGCAGAAGTTGCATACAGCTGCACCCTCCCCCTTGCGGCCATCATGACTATTTGCGGCCTGTTCAAAATCTAAATAAACACGGACAAATTTCTACAACTTGTTCAAGCTAGGGAGTAAACTAAATTCTCCTGTTTGAGTCTCTATGGGAATGGTCGATTCTTTTTACAAAGCGAGGTCACAACCTTGTTAAGGCAACAACGAAGTCTTTGGTGGATTACTGTGCGCATTCAATCACTCATGTCTCGTTGGGCCCACCGGGACCACTACAAGCATTCCTTCATAAGGAAAAAGGACCCAAAAAAAAAACAGAACAACTCACGGCGCCACGCACCCCTTTAACAATGAAGGGTTGAAGGAATTGGCAACCACTGAGAACGCAAGACCCCAGCCGATGATGCCGGCCATCCAAAGACTGTCAAGCACCACAAAGAAACATGCAAGGAACAAAAACATACCAGAGGAGACGCCACACGAAAATGTCAAGCTTGCTTGGCGTGGAGCGAAGAGCAAAGCTGTGTGGTGGCCAAACTCCCCCACACAAAATCACACGGTCCTGACTCGTGGGATTCGCATGGTGCTCCTATTTAAAAAACTCGCCTTAAAGAACTGATTCTCCTTCTACCAGGGCACCGGCTATTGCATGAGTCCAAGGGTTGACTAGGGCCAAACCTCAAGATTTAGAATTAGGTGCAATCAGGCAATTGAACAGACTGCGATTTGGGATCTCAAATGTGCATGCCCTTCCTTCCGAGGCATTCCTGCAGCCCTGATACCAGCCTCCGTGACCCTGCCGCCGGCCGCCGTCGTTTGCGGCGCCTGGAGCCCTGCGGAAGACCGCGCGAGGAAGCAGCCAAAGGCGCGCGCACAATTTTTTTGGAAGTTCTGCCCAAGACTCGGAAGTAAGTACGAAAGCCGGGTTGGGACAGTTATTCGGTTGGAACCGAAGTGTTTTGGCGTAAGAGATAGGTTGAATTTGTGGGAATAAGATATATTTAAGAATGGACAGAATGAATGCAGGAAGACAACTGCCTCCAGGTTCTTGATGTGTTTGGTTTTCTCCCACATTCACAAAAAAAGGTTCTCCCTACTATTACCTTGTAGAAAATTTACAAACACGACTTCGACCCCTCGGCGCCGGAGACGATGGCAATGCGGCCATGCGCGATGAAGCGATGAAGCGACCTCTAGAAATCCTGAGACATGTGGAGAAGGATCCCCGGCGCACTTGATGCACAAAGGCACTTGGCGCGACATGCAGGTTCCAGGTCCGGGCGCCAGGACGTGGTGTTAGGGCCAAGGTTCCTAGGTGGTGATGGACGACTTCGTGAAGTTCGAGAGCCTTCGGCTGCTTCCAAAGAAGCTCCATCAACCCGCAGCCTTGGCTGAACAGCGCACCCAGACAGTGGCACCGAGATGGGAGACGGCAGATGGTGCGTTCAGGCGTTGTTCCACTGGACGCGTTCAGCGCTGGACCTGTGCTCGTCTTCGTTTTCCCGCGTAGCCGTGCGGTTGTTGCGCCAGGCGGGTGAAAAATCGTGCGGTTGGTCTGGAAGATAATGCAGAACATCGGGCGTCGTCTGTGGTAATTAGCTGGTAGCCGCTGTGACGACCGATGTTGGTTTTTCTGCCCCTGGTTTTGATGTCTTTCCTCACCTGCCAGGTCAGGGACTAGGATAGTCATGTCATTCTGTCAGTGTTCCTCGTCCACCACCGAATGCTGTCCATGTTGTGGATCAATATGCCTGGAATGGGCATGCATTGGTGTGTGATCAATCCTCCCAACCCCCAAAGAGCCCCAGTGTGATTGGAGCACCAAAGAGGTTGATCCTTGAAGCTTGGTGGCCGTCCATGGGGTCCGGTTTCATGGGCATCATGGGCTGCATAGGCTGGAAAAGGGACGCTTCAATCGATCAAACAGGCACTGCAGGCATCCTGGCAGCCAGGATGCCCTGCAGGCGGTGAAACGACCGCCATAGAGGCCTGGAGATCCTGTGGCTGACATTCCCTTCGGCTTCATGGTTGCTGACTTTTCGTTGGGGGAGTCTTGAAAGGCCAAGAATGAAATGGCCCGTTCGGGCTAACGACACCTACTTCTTGCGTACCCCCGCTGCTGAGGAGTCGGGCCTTGGTGCAGCGCTTGCCTGTCAGTCTCTTTGGTGTCAACGCCCAGGCTTGCTCTTGCTGTTCTTGCTGCAGCAGTTAAAAAGGGGGCTTCGCAGCTGCCTTGCGCAGCAGCCTTGCACTAATCTGGGCATATCTGGCGATTGATGCAAATGGCCCCAATGTCAAGGCATCAATGGTCTACGCAGCTGCCTGTGCTCCCTTTCTTTTCGCTCGGGCACATCTCAGTGCGTTGAAACCGCACTCGTTGGCCTCGGGCTCACTGTCTTGAAATACAACGTCTCAGTGCGACGCGGTGTATGCGATGACAGGCAGCGGCGGAGAATTCGCTCTCTCTTTTCCATCTGGTTTTGTAAGTTGCATTGTTTATGGGCCCGCTGCTGTGCGGCGAAGAAAGACGGGCAGCTGCATCAGTTCTGACCCTCTTGCGCACCCAACGAAGACGTGTTTTCCAACTCCGCCCGTCCATCAATCATCAAACAGAGACTGCATGGTAGGGATGACGATTGGGGTGAGGCAACCACTGTGTTCAACGTTCAAGGCGACCACATATGGTTGAACTTGATCGCCTCAAAGATCACTCTGAAAGGGCCCCGCATGGCACCGCATGGAGAGCCGTCTCATCAAAAGACACGGTTGGGGGTTGGAGAGCGCTTTGGAGGCTTCTCCGCTTCTCTGCCTCCGTGCGAGATGTGTGCATCAAAGAGCCCCATTAGTCCACAAAGCATTTTGAAACCAAAGAGACAAATAAGCATGCCTTGCCGCTCGGTAGTCAACCCAGTTTAGTGTGCCTTTAGATAGTTCCGGCGAATGGTCAGCCTAGTGATACTTCTTGAGATCTCACCATCTCTTCCTCCACGTTAGTTCTTGTGATATCTTGTGATCACAAAAAGAAGGTGAAGCAATCCACGCAATCCAATGGACAACCTCCAAGGGCTGATCTTCCACGTCCATATTCTTTTAAGGGATCCTTCCTTTCAACTACTTTGCAGCGCCTATGTGGAGGCCTTGGTGGAGTTCCTGGCGCAGTGCCTGGGCTGCGCTGGTGGTTCCTTTTAAAGGGGGAGAGATGGCGATCGGGCTTTGCTCGATCGAAAAAGCCCAGGGAAGGACAGGCGAAGTTTCAGGGTTATGTTATGTGGGTTTGCTTTTTGATAGGCTCCTCCACCAATTTATATGGTCTATAGTTCCTCCTTCCAGGGTGTCAAACGGGGGCCTCCATATTCCAAGACAAACCCATAGAACTACTGGTTCAATCGATGTCAATCGTATCACGGCCCCATACAACCTCTTGGCATCGGGCAGTACCGGGGCACAGCATGTCTCAGTGGCGCAGGTTCAGTGGGGAGCCTGTTGTTTATAAGGGATGTTGTTGGTGCCGGATGTGGGTGTTGATCGCACATGGGAAATTCTTGTCGCAGCGGGAGGTGTTCTCAAAACCGCAGTCCTCACAGTTGTTGATCTCTTTGTGTGTTCCTTTTGTGTTTTTGTGGCCGGCAGTCGAGGCGATGCCCTAAGCGTCGCACGAATGCGTGGTTGCCACGGTCCCCCGTCCACAAAACCTTTGCTGTTCAGGTGGCCTTCCTAACAGCAAATTGACGGGACGAACCCAAGTCCCCCCAAAAGTGATTGTTTCGCCAAGAAATATCCTGGTTGGATCTTGGACCGGGATAAGATCAACCACACACAACCAAGCAAAATCAACCAGGGTCCTTAACTGGGACACCGACTCTTCGTTCGCGACAACAGGTGTGAAGAAGAGGTGGCCAAGGGGCAACTGACTGGGCCTCCCTTCTACATCGGCTTTGGCAGTATGGGAGTGTGAGGCTCAGCCAGTGGCAAGGAGATTACCGTTTTCGGCATTTTTTTGATACAACCTCATCGACTCCCATATAGTCAGCACCCAATAGGTGTTTCATGATTTTTGTAGTCGGTAATCAACGGCTCAAAAGACCAGCTTTGGTTGCCAAGGAACCTATTTGTGTGATAGGGTGTACTTGAAGGGAAACTCTTCATTCAAAGGTAACCTGTGTGAGCATGTGTGGGCAAACATCGATTTTGACAAGGTGAGCCTGGAACAGGGAGAATGCTCCTTTTGGTAGTCTACACGCTCGAGCTCAGTTAGATGGAGATGGACATCCACAGAGTTCCATGTCGGTGATCAATACCTTGTGGCATAACTGGCCGAATCACAGCAGCCTACCCAGGCAGGCAAAGAATGACAGTCATTTTTTCCCTACCTTTGGAGTGTTCTTTTGTTGCAAAGCGTGACAGGTGTTTGTGCACGAATCGTGCTTGTCTCGAAGGGAAACAAATTGAACAGTTTTGGGCTTTGTTGCGCTCCATGGGCTCTGACAAGTTTTGGTTGATCTCAACCAACCTGAAGGTTTTTCCCTGTGATTCGATTGCGTTCGAAGTGTTTGTTCCACTGTATTTTTCCGACGCCCACCCAGGTCAGCAATAGTTTCATATGTTAGAGCTCATCAAAATCAATATATATGATCGACGCAATTTGCATGTTATATGTGTCTATGCATTTGTTCGTTTCAGCTCTTTCTTGATCAAACGAACCGTTGTCCTCCAAATCTGCCACCTTGAAACCAACGATCGACCCTCAAGAGATGGAACCCTCCGATCGATCGATCTCGGGCCCCCGTGCTGCTGCGCCTGCGCCTGCGCCGTTTTCACCGCCCCCAACCACCGCCCCCCTCGTCGAAGGCGGGCGTCCGCGTCCCGCGTCCCAAGGCGGAGGGCTTAGTCCCAGACGCCGAGAAGGTCTTGAAGGTGCGGCGGTGGATCTAGCGTCGACCGACGCCGACTGCCGCCGTTCGGCGAATTCGGCGAGGCGCGGCGAGGCGAATTCGGTGTTCAGCTCGGGAGCGCACGGAAGGCATCAGGGGGTGTTTGGTGACCACATGGGCTCGGTGCCCCGAGGTTGAAGAGGAAAGCTAAGACGCTAAGAGAAGTGAATCGGAAAGTGGACGAAAAGAGTCACCTGCTTGGGAGTCGCCTGGAAGTGAGCCCAGATTCACGTGGTTTTGCACATCAGGTGGATGTTTGTTGTGTTCCAGTTAACTGGGTGAATCCGCTGGCATGGGTGTAAACCTTCATAGTGTTTCCCGGTTCCTTATGAAGCAAATCCCAGACCATGTTTTGTCCAGGAATGGACTGAGGTAGAACCTGGCAACACAGAATGAACGTGAGCCCGAGAGAGAGCGGGATAGCCAAGAGAGACTGCCGTCGGCCAGAAGCACACGTTGACGTCTCGGGATTTCAAATTGATGAAGTCTCTCAAATCGGGAATATTCTGGAACTAGAAGGTTACAGGTCTTCATTCAAGCATCATGTAAATAGAAGAAACCTGGTGAGCAAAGTATGGCAAAGCGGGGCAAGATCTGATGGGCAAATGAGGACTACAAAGAGCATATATATAATACAATATATAAGAGATTGGGCTTTGGGTAGGTGCGTGATAAAGCTGCTATATACATATATAGAGAGAGAGAGAGTTCCACAATCATCAAACTTGCACAACTTACTAGCAAATAGGGTGTTCCCAGTGGTGTTCCCCCCAGGTTCGATTTACAAGACTGCACCGCTTCAAGACTCAGGGCATGACCAGCTGCGAGACAGCTGAACATATTTCGCAGCTTTCAGAGTGTGTCCTTGTGTGTCCTCCATTTTGTCGGACATGCTTTTGGGGGTCTCATGTGTCCTCATAGGTCCTCATGTATCTCCCAGGGGGAGCTGTTCTTGGGGAATCACAACTCTAACTCTCTCCGCCCTCGAGCGTCGTCGCGAGGTCTTCTTGGACACAGCCAAGTGGATGGCGCGCCCGGTGGTGCTGATGCAACACACGCTCGCGCAGGTGCGAGGATAAAAATTGGGTTTTGGGGATTGGGAGATTTGAAATGTTCCTGAAGATGAATACCGTACCCTTCTGGGAAATAGTTTTGTTTCCCAGTTTCTTAAGCCACTCACTTTTGACTATACACTATGCGCCTCGATGTGGTTCTTGGGGATGGTTTAGGCTTTGGGGTTGGTCTTTTGGACCGAGTGTCCGGATGTCGCATCTGCGATGGTCCCGATGTTTCAAAGGTGTTTCGTGTATGTTCTTTGTCCTTTCGGTGCTTGGTGCGGAATGGCTGCGGTGCAGTCCGCGCCATGGCGAAGGGTGACGTGGGTGGAACAGCGGACGGTGTCGTTTCAGGCTTCGCACGGCTTGGACGCACGGCTTGGACGCACGGCTTCGCTCCATCTTAATGAGTTCACCATCAACAACATGGAACTGGCCTTGCAGGGTGAAACAAGAACTATCAAGCAGCAGGAGATGTAGGTTTGTGTTTCGATCTCTGAATGCTTGGGAGGAAGCATCCCAATGAAGACGAATTCGGTGTTTCAACCGGCAGCCAGCTCTGAATGGTTGTTGAAGAGACTGAGCTCATCACCAGTAGCACTCTCAGTTTTAAGATCCACCTGTTATCACACATCTTAGTTTAAAGGCCATTCCTGCTGTTGCAAAATCCAACAGTCGTTTCAACTAAAGACGTCACGGCCGAAAATGTTGGAGTCTCACTTTTCTTTCTTCTTGGCCGACTGATCCTGACTTCAAAACACTTCAACCTATGTCAGGCATGCCTGGTCTACCAGAGCATCCGGCATTTTGCCTGGTGTACTGAACTGAACCAAGTTCCACCGTTTTATGAGGGCACCAGAGGTGACAGAAAGAAGAAACATGTGTGAAACATTTGTCATGGTCTTGACAATGGCTGGCAATCCGTTCCGGAATTCGTTGAAAGATCACTGAACAGATAGCCAACAATGTCTCCCATGTTCGACATCAGACGAAAACACACCTCCGTCGTCGCTGAAATGATGCCATTTCATTGCATCTTTTTGTGCGAAGCTGTGTCAGATAGGATGAGGGTGTTTGTCTAAATCGGATGTTCATTGATTTCGGAGGGGGTGTGCTTCGCATTCGCACCCATCGGACTGTTGGGTGATCCAACACCAACAGTCGAATTGTGTGATCAAATCGCCATTGCTTCATCTCCTTGCACATGTTTTGCATGTCAAAGAAACACGAGGTTTTTCAGATGTTCTCTCCCTTTTCAGCCTTCCCCTTTTACGTCTTGCCTTCGTTTTCCCCTTCGTGGATGGACCACCGAACCCTCGAAGCTCAGGTGGATCCGACTCCGCGCTTCGTCTTCTGCTGCAGTGAGGATGTGCCACATGGATGGTCACCCGGAGATGGTCACCCGGAGGGTTTCCGCACAACCATGGATGGTGACTTCTGTGGTTTTTCTTTCTTTTTTTTTTTCGGATTGATTTATTTGATATCATAATTAAGATATTCATAACACCTCTCCAAAGAATGTGTGTCTTTCTCCGTAAAGAACAGCTAGCAACTTGTAACTTGCACACATGTATGTATAGATGTGTCATCATCACGTGTGTAGATCATCATCGCGTGTTAAGACAGTGTGTAGATATTTGTATGTAGATATCCGATTGAAGTGTGTGCGTCAGTGTACGCACATGTAGGTGTACATATGTAGCTATATGGATCTAGGCGGATCGATTTAGGTGAATAGATGCAGGATGATGCAGGCCCATTAGATGATAGGATGATGTAGGCGTATAGAAGTCGGTGTAATACATGTCAAAGGCCTGGGGACAGGCGAAGGCAAAAAGGCCCAGAACTGTCAGACACCGTTGTGGGTGACGTGGAAACGGACGGGACCGCATGACGAGGGACCGCCGGACTGGTCGGATCGATGAGGAAGAACGGGGCCAGGTAGGTCTTCTTGAGGTGGGCCTTTCTTGTTACTACTAGTAACAAGTGCCTCGCTAGTAGTAACAAGTGCCTTACTAGTAGTAACAAAAAGCTATTAGAATTAAGTTGAGGTGGGCCAGCCGGGTCTTTCAATTGAGACGTGGACATGATCGGCACGTGGACATGATTGGCCGTTTCGGCCCGCCCGGGGAAGCTGCGCAGGGGCTTGCAGGGCCGAAGATTGAACATTGGGCATCCCCTATGTCGTGTCCGATCGCTCCGTTCGTAGCGTTCTTGCTCCTAGTAGTGAGGCCAGGAGCCCCTTTAGTAGCGTCCGATTGCTCCGTTCGTAGCGATGCCCTAGGAGGTCCGTTCGTAGCTTTCTGGTTCCATTTCGTCCCCGTTCGTAGCTCCGTTCGTCGCGTCCATGCCCTAGGAAGCCCAGTTGTGCGCCTCGCTGCGCCGACGGATCCGACCTGTGCCGTTCCGCGCTGGCGAGGCTCTTCCCCCAGTGCTCCGTGGTGATCCACCACGGCGGCATCGGCACCGTGCTGGCCGCGGCGCGCGTGGGGCGGCCACAGCTGGTGGTGCCGCTGGCCTTCGATCAGCCCTTCTGGGGGCGACTTGGACGACTTGCTGAGCGCAGAAAGGCCAAGAGGTGAGTGGATCAATTACCCAGGAAAAGTGGATAACTAGGGATGTTCAAACTCCTGGGTGGGGCGTACCCCAGTTGGACTGGGGAGGTTAGCTGTGTTATCCACTGGATCACCTGCCCCAACCTTTTGTTTGGAATTGGTTTCCCGACTACATGGAAAGTTCAGCGAACACCTTGATTTTCGGAAACGGTTCGGGAGTCAGGTTTGAAAGGCAGAGGAAGGGATCGACGGAGCTCAAAAGGTGGAGGGAGGAGCTGAAGCAGAAGTCCGGCGCTTGTTGAAAGCATGAGCCAGGGCATCCAGTTACCACTAATTATAGCTGGTAACCAGTGGTTCCAAAGACTGAAACCATAGACCTAGAATCCCTGGTTCCTTATATAGTGGCAACTGGGATGCACTGGGCACTGGGTGAGCCATTCAAGAGTTAAGATACTGGAACTCTTTTGTGTTCTGGAGGGTTCAACCCCCGGCTATGGAGGCTCCCAAGAGTGATGGAATACATCAGCGTAGTCCGGAATAATCAGGTCGGATGGATGAGGCAGACCACGACGTTTTGGTCCCTGTTGGCAAGGGAATGCCATTGGGCATGAATCTTCAGCACATGAACCAACCCGACTGGGTGTGTGGTTCAGTCCCATACCACATGACATGCTCACTTCGTCATTGAAACCTGTTTAAGTGTTTTGTAGTTCCCATCCGATCTGTCCGATCTGTCGGTTGATTTTGCCACCAGGTTTGGGGGGCCCTTGGCATCATGTCTTCTGCGCCGACCTCCGCCGATCTTTCCTCGGATTTTGTTCACCAAAATAACTTTGCCAGGAGTCACAAAGGGGTGGTGTTTAGTTCCCAAGTGAGTGGATAATGGGCACCCCTAACCTCCATTAAGCACCCCTTTGTGACTGCTGGTGCTCTGTGAGGGTTCTCAATTCTTGCGTCGACACGATCCTGGACCGAGCTGACTTCTGGCTTTTTGTCTCCCTCTGTGTCGCTTGGTCTCTTTTTGTCCGCCATGGCTCTTCTAGATGATGGGCAGAAATGATTCTGCTTTGTCTCCCTTTGCCGCCCATAGATGCTGGGCTGAGACGCTTCTGTTTCGTCTCCCTTTTCTTCATGGCTCTTCTTGGATGCTAACCCAAGATGATTCTGCTTTGACTTCCTTGGCCTCCCATGGTTCTTCTTCTTGTCAAGCCAAGCCACATGTTTTACATTTGTTTTGAATTGGGAATGGCCCGGCGTGACCGAAATGATTAAGCAAAAAGATATAAAAAGAAGCATCAAGCTGTCACGGTTCGTCCACTCTTGGGTTAAGGATTGTTAAGGGGCATCCATTCACCGCTGTTGGGTGGGTCCTGGACCATCTATTGTCCACCTAAGAAAACGACTCCTCTCACACCAAGCCTTCAAACCTTCAACCTTCAAACCTTCAAACATTCACAAGCCCTTGCGGCTGACTTTGTTTGTGAGGCCGAATATCCGCAATTTGCGGTTCGAGCTACACAGAGGTGATAGGCTAAACCCCAGTAGGAGCTCTCAAGGCTCCTGTGTAGCCATAGCCCGGACGTTGAGCGTCTGTCGAAAAGTGCCGATCCTGCTTTGAAGAGTATCCATTCACCCTTTTGCTGTCTTTGACTCTCATTGTTCTCAATGGCACTCTCCGGCATGGATCAGGATGAAGGAGAAGGCGACAGCCCGCTCCCAGCAAATCGACCACGTCGACAGCTGTTAAGCATCCAACAAGCACCGCAGGCTTCAGATCAACATCGAAGAAGTAGAAGGCCTCGACCACATGTGAACACTCCAGGGCAGTCTTCCATTGATGATCTCATAGATGCAGAGTTGGGACGATATTTAGCTCCAGCAGTTCTCAAAGATATTCGAAAGCAATCTCTGGATTTGTCCAACAAGATTCGCGGACTACAGAAGACAAATGTGCGAAGAGAAAAAGTCAAAGGGAACATTGCTGAGATCCAGGATGGCATTTTGCCAAAAGGATTTCGACCTTTTTCTCACACATTTGAGACACATTTGCTGGATGACATGGTTTCCCAGGATGGCATTTCGGTGACCGTGGACACGAGCATGTCGATTCGTGACACAAAGCGCAAGTTCCACATGGAACATTTGAAAGTGCAATTGGAACTGGACCTCCAACTTTTGGACAAACACAGACAACAGTTGAAGACCCACATCCGAAAAGAGGCTTTTTTGGACAGATGTTTGGCCAATTTTCCAGCTTTTGCACAAGAGCATCGTAAGGCATCGGCTTATTTGGACTTGGATGATTCTGACGCTGACACTGCTGCTAACTTGGAACTTCGTGGATTGAGTTCTGATCAGGCAAAAGCAAAGATTCTGGCAATTTACCGAAAAGTGGTTGATGCTGAAGTCGAAGTGAAGCGCGCACAGGAGGAAAAACAAGCTGCTGAACGAAAGAGACAACATGAGGTCGTGCAGGAGGTCATTCGAAAATCACCTGAGGAGTTTCTCATTGAGGCAATTGATTCTTGCACTGCGCAATCGAAAGACAAGAAGGCACCTGCTGGGCGAACTCGAAAAGACAAGCAGAAGTATGAGATGAACTCTGCAGGACTAGCTTGCCAAGCCATGTCTGGCATGATTGATGAGGAGTCTATTTCCCAGTTGGTCTATGAGAAAAGACCGGAGACCAGACATGGGAAAGGAAAAGGCAAAGGCAAAGGAAAGGTTCCTTCCAAGATGCAGGTTTTTCCTCAAGGGAAAGGCAAAGGAAAAGGGAGGAATCCAAAAGGCAAGGGCAAAGGAAAGAACAAAGGAAAGCTTCCCGTGCAAGAAGCTGGGTTGCCAAAAAACGGATTGGCCCCCCACAAGGGGGGCAAATCTACTTCCAAGGGAAAAGGGAAAGCTACAACCAAAGGAAAAGCTCAAGGAAAGAAAGGAAATGGCAAAGGCTTTTGGACTGGCAGTGCGCGAGGAAGGTGGCAGTAAAGAAACCAATGTTGCCTGCCAAGCTTCTCGACTGTTCTGGTCTTTGGTCCGACAAATGCCATTGCAGGAGTTCACCACTTTACTGAAGTGTGGCAAAGACGTGGAAAAAGTCTATGTCTTTGATCATATTTCTCGCTCTGCGTACATACCAAAGGATATGCCTTGGCCTATAGAATATCTCCTTGGATTTCACTCCCCCAAACACTTTCTTTTGAACAAAAAACGTATGTCCTTGCGGACAGTGGGACAGTCTTTGTATGACTGGGAGCATCGCTTAAGATGGAGGCTTGCTTTCATGAATCGAGGTCCTGATGCGTGGCAATTGTTAAAACAACGGTCTAGTACTGTCAGACCTTGTGACATAAGACCCCCTTCGTCTCTGGACAGCTTTTGCCATGAAATCCGGCAAAGCTTCTACAAAGAAGTTCTGAAAGTTCGTGGTAAGCTCCGATCTGACAGGAGTTTTTCCTCTATAACGTGTACGGAGTTGTTCGTTTGGCACTTAGATTGTTGGATGACGGGCCTTTTAAAGCCATCCGTACGGACAAAGATGGAGGTTTTGCTCTCATCCACAAATCTGTTGTCAAGCCTGAGTTGCTACGTATTCTCACAACTTCTTCCAGATACAAGGAAGTTCCTCGGACGTCAACGTTTTCCGAGGACATTGTTCGAGGATTTGAAAGCGAAGTTGTTTTTCACCTTTCCAGTTTCATGGCGGATGAAGAAAAATCATCCTTTTTGAGAAGCATTTTGCAACCGGTCATTGGGAGGGCTAGCAAGGCTCTTTCAAAACTGAAGTGCACCATTAAAACTCACAAAGGGCCTGGAAAGGTCAAGTTTCGGGGCATTCACAGTTCGGTTTGCACTCCGTTTCGCGGGCGCTTTCCGGCTCATTGCCTCTCTTCTCCGCCCTGCTCTTTCAACTTTAGAGCATTTGCTGAAAAACAGTGAAGTTCTTGTACGTCGGTTAAACAACCTGAGAGTTCCATCGAATTGCCAGTTCGTGAAAGTTGATGTTAAAGACTACTTCATGGATGGCCTTCACTCCCAATTTTTGGAGTACAGTAGTTCCCTCGTGGAGCCCAAGCGGCGAACTTTTTACCGAACAATTTTGCGATATGTTCTCAATTCGCAATATGTCGAAGTGGACCAGTTTGATGGTCGACTTTGGAAAGTGTTGAAAGGAGCTGGCATGGGCCTTGGCTTCAGTGGCGAATTGTGCGACGCAACGTTTTTCGCCACCGTTGAAAAAGGAGTGGTCGATTGTCCTGATATGTTGAAGCGCCACTCTGTTGAACTGTTTGTTCGGTACAAAGATGACATTTTCTTTTTGCACAGTGGAGACACCCAATCCCTGAGGGATTTTGTTGGGCTTCTCCGCCAGAGAAGTCTTGTATGGAAATTAGAAGTGGAAAGCGTCAGCAGACAGGGCTGCGATTTTCTTGATTTAGACATTTCAAAAGGCGCCGGATGGAGGTCTACGGGTCTCCTGGACATAGGAGTTCATCACAAAACCACTGGACTCCACCAGCCACTTGCGCCTCACTCTATGCATAGTTTACACGTTCACCATGCTTGGCCAAAAGGTTTGGTTGCGCGAGCCAAGCGCCTGTGCAACACTAAGCCACTTTTGAGGAAAGAACTGGCCTACATCAAACAGCTGCTTTCTGCTAGATGTGGCACAATCTATGCAGACCAAGTTTTGAACAACTCCAAGCAGCTGTCCCGTCTTCCCTGCCATGATTTGTCTTCCCGTATTCTGGTTCCATACCATCGGGAGTGGGACTGCTGCAGTGTTCGTGCATCGCTGCGGAAAACTCAGCTTTTGCACAACGCTGCTCTAATTAGAGATTTCAACACCGCTGTCAAAGTTCAGCTCTGTTTCGGTCTTCCTGCGCCACATCTATATGCGCGACTTGACCGTTGCAGCAGCAATGATAAATCGGATTCTGTGTATTTTTGGTAGGAAGGAGGGGATGGAGGAGGATTAACCTTCAAACATTCACAAGCCCTTGCGGCTGACTTTGTTTGTGAGGCCGAATATCCGCAATTTTGCGGTTCGAGCTACACAGAGGTGATAGGACCCCAGTAGGAGCTCAAAAGGCTCCTGTGTAGCCATAGCCCGGACGTTGAGCGTCTGTCGAAAAGTGCCGATCCTGCTTTGAAGAGTATCCGTTCACCCTTATGCTGTCCGCTGATTTTGCCACCAGGTTTGGGGTTTGGCATCATTCACCTGAGCCGACCTCCGCCGATCTTTCCTCGGATTTTGTTCACCAAATAACTTTGCTCTGTGAGGTTTCTCAATTCTTGCGTCGACACGATCCTGGGCCGAGCTGACTTCTGGCTTTTTGTCTCCCTCTGTGTCGCTTGGTCTCTTTTTGTCCGCCATGGCTCTTCTAGATGATGGGCAGAAATGATTCTGTTTTGTCTCCCTTTGCCGCCCATAGATGCTGGGCTGAGACGTTTCTGTTTTGTCTCCCTTTTCTTCATGGCTCTTCTTGGATGCTGAGCCAAGATGATTCTGCTTTGACTTCCTTTGCCTCCCATGGTTCTTCTTCTTGTCAAGCCAAGCCACATGCTTTACATTTGTTTTGAATTGGGAATGGCCCGGCGTGACCGAAATGATTAAGCAAAAAGATATAAAAAGACACATCAAGCTGTCACGGTTCGTCCACTCTTGGGTTGAGGATTGTTAAGGGGCATCCATTCACCGCTGTTGGGTGGGTCCTGGACCATCTATTGTCCACCTAAGAAAACGACTCCTCTCACACCGCTAGCCTTTCGGCACCAAGGCAGACGTTGGAAGACCTGGGCGTGGTGCCTTGGATCTTCGCCCCTTCGCGCCCGGTCCTCCGCACGCTGGAGCAATGAACTCCCATAGCAAGAACAGTTGTGGCGGTTCAGTCGGACTAGCCAAAAAACATGCGAATGTCCATGGCTTGCCATGCGGGTGTGAAGGATAGAGAGTGTTCGTGAGACTTCCGGAGTCTCAAGGTGAAGAGGTGGAACTCCATGGGTTCGGCGTCCGTTGTTCCAACAAAACACCCCCAAAGAGAAAGCAGTAGGTTCAGGAAAACAACTGAACGCTGCATCACAGTGTTGGATGATGTTGGATGTTCCTCAACTGGCACAAAAAGCCGCTGGCATGCTGCTCTTCGCGGGCCAGACACCCACGATTTGTTCTACTCGAGTGGAGGGTCCAAAGGCTATCCCACACTCTCCCATACTATCCCACACTCCCATCAGTACCACCAGCACATCCATACCCAGACATTCCGTGGGACGGCCAGCCATAGTTGCCTTTTCAGGCCAGGGGTGGGCCATGAGGAGTCAGTGTTGGTGTTCAAGAAGCTCCAGTCCCATTTGTATCCATTTGTCGTATTTGGGATAGTGGAGATGTCTTTTCCCGAAAAAAAGGAAGATGCCATTTTCCTTTGTGTTAAGGATCTTCGTATTGGAATTGCTAACTAGAAAAATAATACCTGTTCTGCAATTTATATATAACAAGTTATAATATATATATATGGGTCCAACCCCTCCCAAATATCCAAGACCCTACAAATCCAGCAAGAAACTACTAGGAACACAGGGCATCGCTACTAGGAGCAAGAAGCTACTAGTAGCTCCTGGCCTTACTACAAGTAACAAGAAGCTATACCAGTAACAAGGCTTCTAATTGTTCTTGTTGGTAACCGTCAAGACATTGGATTTTCCGAACCATGTCGCTCTGTACGGAGATCCAAGCTCGCGCCCCCTCCTAGGCGGCCGTGCAGGAGCTGGAGGAGCTGTCGGTGCCTTTGGTGGCCCGGAAGCTCCGGGCGCTGCTGCGGCATGGCCTGAAACGGGGGGTTGCATCGCCCAGGCGTTTGGCCACGTTGCGTATGGGATGGGCCTGGGAGGGTTTCACATGGGTAATTCACATCGGAGCCTTCAACCATGAAGTGGCAACATCCATTCATTTTCCCATCGCAGTGCGTATGTTGGCTTGAATGGTGTTTGGGATGCTAAGGTACCAACTAGGCAGTAAAGCCAGTGGTTTGCGTTGTCTCAGAAAAGATTGCAAGCCACGCGTTCAATGCTAAATGTTTTTTCAGGGCAAGGAACACAGACGGTTCCTGTCAATCTTGCTGCACGGCAGCTCTGTAGATAGATGAGTGGCTGCAGTTTCATCTTCGAGTGCGGGGCCTTAAGGTTTAGATGTCCTTGTATCCAGATGATGTTTTTCTGAGCCTTAGCCAGGTGGTGAAACCACCCTAGGTCGTTGAAACAGGACCAGACCTCGCACCGATGAAGTCGGGCCCAGTAGTGCAAGGACTTGGGCGACCTCATAGGGTCTTTTTGTGACAACACCCATTTCACCAGGGGTTATTTTGCATTTGTTTTGCTTGAGATACATATCTTGGCTGCTTGTTTCGCTGCCATGCCGGTCTCATCACCAAAAGGTTAGTTTGCTTAGATGGTTGACCTTTTGATTGTACACTCTGACTGCGTGGAACGTGGCGACCGGGCAAATGACTTTAACGTGTTGGTGCGAATGGTGTCACAGTGTGCGGGTGTCTTGCACTCGGGAGATTCAGACCTCACGGAACCTGAAGCATAAGACTAAGACCATACGAAGACCATCAAAAATCTGCCAAAACCTAGGGTTTCGGAGGGTCTCTATTACCCAGACACTCCATATATATATATATATGGCATATTTACATACATTGGGGTGGTTTTAGGGGTCAATGTAGGTCAAAATGCCAGTCCCATGGAGCGTTTGGGTACTAATACACACGTGAACGAAAACCCACGTGTTTCTTTTCTTCTCCCTCTCGAACCATCGAACGACCGTGGACTCCCGCGTATCAGGACTCCGTCGGTCCAGCGGTCTGTGGAAGACCTCGCCGCCCAGCTCAACGACGAGTCGCCGCCCATCGCGCGGGCGGTGCAAGAGATCGCTGCGCTGGCGGCGACGGTCGAAGGCGCTGGCGCTGGCGGCGCTGGCAGAGAGGTGTTGAAGCTCGGTGGGAAGGAGCCGTTTGGGATTGTTGGGAGAACTCTTTACTCCACGTGGTGGAAAAGTGGATGTCACAGATTGGAAATGATTGGAACCAAGATCAAAACCATGTGCTGGACCTGCAAATGCCAATCAAGAATAGGGTGTGCTCGAAACCTGATACGAGTACTCCATCGTTCGGGTCTGCATGGGGGCAGTGAGACATTGGATTCTTTGGATAAATGTGTTGTGCTCACGCTGCAGTCCGCACTTTAGAAAGTTGGTGGAGCCTGTGGAGCCTCGAAAAGGATCCCCTTTCTGTTTGCCATGCTCATGTCGAAGTCCCAACAGCAATCATTTGATGGATGAAAAAGGCTCGAGGCACTCTGGGAGTTTGGGGACTCACTTTGACTACTAAGAGCTATCAGTGAGCCTGGTGGGGAGCCTATCGGGCCTCCGAAGATGTTCAGGTGGAGGCTTTAGGCCGAAATGGTCCCCATCGCGTTTGGGAAACCACGCTTTTGGTTTACACCAAATACGCCCGAAGCGGTTCGCCAGCCGAGCCGAAACCGCCGAGCTGCCAATGGCACGGCCGGGGCCCGATCTGAGGAGGCCAGTTCATCGCATTGAGCTCTGCGAGGATGCGGAGGGTGAAGACTTCTTGGTTTTTGCTGAAAGAAGTTTTTGATTTCTAGACCATGCAGGGCGCAAAAGGCCACCTGTATGGATCGATGGAAAAGATGGAAAAGAAGTGTCTGATTTCTTCTTTGATCTCGGTGAGTAGGAATGGAGTTTTGTGGGGAGATGCCCTGGACCAAGGGAGTCTAGTTTGTTTTGGGGTGGAACTGGACCTGAAGACGCTCATTTTTTGGGCCAGCTTTTGGTCATGGTCGATTTGATCAACCAGCTCAAGATAGGAGTTGCATCCACAGGTTACCCGTTGCATTGCCTGTCACTGAAGGTCACTTGTCCTGGCAAACCTCTAGAGCGAGCTGTCAGGTTGTTTTTGATATACAAAGAAAGTGAGACTCGTGTTAAAGAGAGGAAGACTTCCCAAGAGTGGTCCAGAGGATCTCTCTATGTATACATACACACCCAGATGGTGTTTCCGACTGAGGCAGAGGAGTTGAGCGTTCTGGGCCGCAGCAGTGGAGAGGTGCAGTTCATCTTCCGAGAAATTGCCGAGGAGATGAGTTGTAAGTTCTTATGTGTCCACTTCCGCGAGCAGAGACAGAGCGGATGTGAGACCCGGCCGTTTTTCCTGATTGTGAACTTTCCTGAAACCTTGACCCCCAAAAGCACGTTATCACGGTTCATTCTTCCGGTGGGGGGTCATTCTTGAGGCGGAGCCAAACGAACAAACACGACCCGCAGCTTGAGTGTTAGCTTTTTTCTTTTCAGCGTTACAAAAAGAAACACGGGGACAGGGTCGTCACTGAAGACCATCAGGAAAGGAACGGGTCAGGGGTGTTTTCGGGGGATGGACTTCACTGGTCTTCAAGGGTTCCTGGCAGGAGGCTTCACAGACTTCAGAGCCGTTACTCTTCGCTTTCGGGTGCGAGTGAGTGCTTGTCCGGAGCGGAGCGGAGGGGGGAAACCGCAGGAGCACAGCTATGGAGAGCTCTCCAAGCTGCCAGGCGACTCCATCGTGGTCGATGGAGGGATGAACCTGGGACTCTTCAGTGCCTGGGCCGAGTCTGCGAGCCGCGGCAAAGGGCAGAGGTGAGGAGGGGGTCCAAGCTACGGCTGAGGAGTTCAAAAGACATGAAAAAGCATCCATCCTCCTGTCTTTTGGCAAAAAGCTGGGATTTATCGGTCTTGACCATCGACTGGAATGCTGGGCGGGGAGGATCCTTCTTCTATTACCCACAGGATCATGTCCACGATACATGACAGTCCGAGTCCCATCAAAAGGTTTTTCTGAGTACGAATCAAATGTACTCAAAAATTGAGTACGTTAGTCATGAACAGTCTCAAAGAGTCCCCTCAGTCGCTGAACACGCTGCTAAGTCCAGTTTTCAAGCACTGAGTGGCACTGAGTGTTGAATGTGCTGCGAATATGTTGACTTACTTTCGTTTTCAGCCATGAGGTTAATGACAAATGTGTCCATTGTCTTGAAGAATCTTTAAAAAGGTGGGCCAAAGCCAAAGCTGTTTATAATCTGACATCCAACCTTTGGCTGCGGATACGTCCGATGCTAAGCCTAGCTTGACCAGTCCTGAAGCATTTGTACTTGTTTGCAGTATGCGAGAGTGTCCGCTCATCTATTTTTATGTTGCATTAGGTTACTTCAACAACAGATGTATCCAGGCACCTGTAAAACTTATCTGAAGTACAGCTAGCCGGTGGCTTCTAGTGGAATGATATGTAAAATCATGCAGTTTGTCCAATTATATAAATGTGCAAGACTTCAGACTTGAGAAAAGAAGCTACCCCACAAACACCTTTTGGAGTCCAAGGGCCCAGGGTTCCATTGCCTTCCATTCTTCAGTTGGTCCTGCATTGCTCCCAAAATGAGCGTTCCTTTCGATTCACTTCCAAATCCACGGTGAGTCCTCAGGCCTGGTGCTAGCCAAGCGCTGGCGTGGCACGGGGCAGCTCACGGTGGTGGCCTTCGAACCGGCCGAGGCGCACCGGTTCGCCGGTTCGCGTGCCGTAGGCCACAGCCGGGGCACAGTGTGCCAGGCGAGTGGGTGTGAGGGACATGTTCGACACCGCGGAGATGGGCGTCCCATGCAAAAGACCTACCCAGACGCTCCGTTCACAGCCCGACTGCTGCCTCAAAACCTAGGGTTTTGAGACCCCTGACCCCTCCAATATGAGGGTCCAGGGTCGCGTTTGGGTAGAAGAAAACAGGGGCGTCTCGGACGCCTCCATTGGGCTAGCCATCCACTTTAATCTGGCAAAGCTCCGAAGAATCAACGTATTTCATGTACACAGCCATAGGAATAGGCATGAATAGGGTGTGTCCCATTTACAGTGTAGGATGATATGTTTTGTAAAGAAAGGCCTTTGCTATCCACTGTTGCTGGTGCTGTCATGTACCCAAGAAAAAATTCACTGAATCCAAGAAAGAGTCCCAAATCTAAGAACCCGTTGTGGGTATGAACTCACAAAACTCCATAGAACACACCAAATCTCGGGGAGTGTATTTCTGAGGATTTCCTTGCTCCAAGTGTCCCATCCTCAAATATCGCAAATATCATCCTGTCACCTGTGACAGGCAAGCTTTTCCTCAGCGGGTCATGGCTGCTGCACAGGGAAAGCAAGTTGGGTCATGGAAAGGTTCAAAGGCGCAAGAGCCAGGTCCAATTAACAACGTTCAAAACAGACCCATTGTTCAAGTCATGCACTGTTAGGCAACCCTTTAAAGGTGAGCATGAAAACTGCCAGAGGTGATTAGGAAGCTGACATTCATTTACGAGGCGTTGTACATGTTTCTACTTGTCAGATTTTCGAAGGGTGCAGTCTCTTTTATGTGCATCAGCATATGGAGGCGGATCAAAAACAGTGTATACCATGCCCAAAACACCAACTGGAATGCTATATGTTTGAACTCTTTCCGCGCCCAAGGCCGATCTCATCTTTGACCGACCTTGCCAGTCCCCGTCAGGAGACCTACCACCTGGCGCTCCAAAACCTCCGTCACCACGGCGTGCCCTTGGTCGCCCACGGCGCGGAGTTCGGCGACCGCGACGACGCGGTGGTCGAGGGCGCGGAGTTCGGCGATGCGCCGGTGGTGGTGCACTGCTTTCGGCTGGCGCTCTGTGACGTGGAGCGCGAGGCCACGGGCGACGCGAACATCGGTGGTGTTGGGCTCAAAGGTCACGATGCTGGGGCCAAAGACGATTGGGGGAACGCCGGCCATGTTTTCGTGTGGTGAAATTGAATTGTTCCTTGGTTCTTTCCCAAAGACCTTCGTTCCTGTTCGTGTGAATTTCAGGCCAACCATGGTGATCGCAGGTGATCGCAGCGTCGCGTCGTTTGGGTGGACCCGAAGAAGTTACGTCGAACTCTGAAGACCCGAAGAGCTCTCCGAAAGATGGTCCCTGGAACTAACATGGTTCCGTGGATGGCACCACCTGTTTGTAGTGGATTTCATGACATGTTCAACTGACATTGGGATCATTGGGGACTGGCCAGGGATGGGCCACGAGTAGGTGAATCTGTCGGTCTGGAGTGTGCACCATGGGTCAACAACGGGGTCAGATGATCGACATCATTGTCCCAAAGAGCTACCTGCGGAACAGGATCGCCTTTGCTACTTCCCCTACCTCACTTCCAGCTCGACCTTGCAACAGCACCGCGCAGCCACCTGGACGGACGATACGCGCGGACGGACGCCTCTTTCGCTGTATAGCGGACGTCGGGGCCCACGTGGAGGGGACGTGACGTGGAGCTTTGGAACGTGATTTTTTCACTGCTACGCTATTTGCCAAAAAAACAAGTTCAGTTTCCTATCAAACCAGCTGACCAGCCATTTTTCGTGGTCTAGAGAGGCCCTCAGCTGGCTACCGAACTCGGGGGTCTGGGCAGACTGGACGGGCCGGCAGAACTGGACGGACCAAGGCCAAAGACCTTGCGAAAGAGAGGGGCTGCTTCGATCCGCGTCTAGTGCAGAGCCTTGGGCATGAAGCTTCCCCCCGCGGCGCGACCCCCCGAGGGAAGGATGCTTATCATTTGGAGGTTGCATGAGAATGTCGAGCTTGCTTTCTTACTTCCCTACATCTATCACAGTATGTTCTTCGGTAGAGACGGGCAGAGACCATGCTTGAGACATCATTTGGCTGTATAAATTAAATGATTTGTATATCCACAAATTTGTATGTCCACGACCTTGCACATGTTTGTAGTTCACAGTAAATTAGATTGGTTGAGCCGTTGCACATCCAGCCGCTATGTTTGGGGGGGCTAGATCCTCCGTCCCTTTAGTCGTCCTAGACCCCGCCTCTAGGCTGGGTCGTCCTAGGTCCTAGCCGTGTCCACTTCATGTTCAGCTTCACCAGCTTGTCATCATGCGCGGAGCGTCAGGACAGGATCCAACGGTCTCCCTGCCATGAAGGTCTCGAAGATCGCAGACATGAAAGCTGACGCAATGAGCTGACATGGTGACGTGCTAGCAGGATCGGCTAGCGAGACTGTGACCATTGGTTCATGCACTCTACCACACGTCCCATCCTCAGGAGACCTACCTACTCCCGGACTTTCTAATTTTCTGGTGTCGCTTAGGTGCGCAGAACTTTCATTCACTTTGAGGAGGAGGAGGGGGAGGAGGGAGATGTTGGGAGCGACCGCGTGGCGACCGCGGCCATCAGCACAGCTCTGGGATCATCGATGATCCTGCTGATCACCTGTGACGCAGCACACAGATGTGTCGGTGCATAGTTCCTGCACCCAAACCATCACATGTTAGTCAGCATTGGTCATGCAGCAGGTGTCAACCACACTTGCGACTCTAGGAGGTCTATGCCAGGGGAAAAGAGAGGCAGTGTGTTCCATCCTGGCTGAAACTGCCATGAACTGAGCGAAGTTATTTGCAACTCACCACGCACCTGCGGCAATACTTGTAGTACTATCGACTCGGTCAAGCTTGGGTCCTTCAACTCGTTGAACATGCAGGTTAAAAGTTTCTTGGACACAAACTCCTTGGCCAGGCCACGGAGGCTTACACAACCACTGCCTGCAGGCTGATCAAGCACCGGCAGGTGTCAAGAGTGGGCCGACACACGCTGATCATGGTGTATCACGCCCTGACAATCACTACAACTAGGCCACGACCTGCAGCCGCAGCCGTGCAGTTGTTTAATCCTCTGGGGATTTGAATCTGTTCTGTCGAAAGCCGGCCAGATCTTCACACAACGCAGCTGTGAGCTTCACTGAAAATCCCCAGTCCCAGTCGAGGAAACCCTCTTGGCCCGGATTTGCGTTGTTTGCTTGCCTGTTTGTATGACAAAAAGCACGACTATTCCCACAAAAAGCATAGAAAAAGAGCCCCCCCAACATAAAATTCAGAACTCAGAAAAAGAACCGCCAGGAATAGAATGAACCCTCCAGCCTCCAGCATAAAAGACAAAACCACCAGCATCAGAAGAAACTATTCCCTGCCATATTTACCAGTGGGCATAACAATATACAACTGCATTGTGAGAACAATAAAAAAATGATAATTCAACATTTTGATCCTGAGTGCTCTCAGCGTGAGCCATGGTTGACCTTGGCTGTTTGTCATACTTTGACCCAAAGAAACCTACAATAGCTTTGCTGGCTTGCTTCCTCTCAACATTTGCATGCCATGCACCCTTAGTGGCATATCATAAGAAGCAGGAAAACATAAAGCATAGCAAATGCATAGCAAATGAATATATGATGTTGTTTTGTGTGTGTGTGTTGTTTCATCTTCCCCATACCCCATACCCCACTCGCCCACGTCCCAGACCGCACCGAGGATCTTCTTCGCGGCGGAGCGCGCGGAGCCCATCCGCTGCTGCGCCCTGTCCACGGCGCTGCGCCGCGTGGAGCGCTGCTCGGCGCGGCGGGCCGACTCAGAGCGGCCCATCTCCCTGCGCCTCGGCCACGTGGAGCGCAGAGCGCTGTCTGCGGGCGCGGCAGGTTCTGAGCCAGAACGCCTGGGGTCAAGTCCCAAAAGGGGGTTCGCATCCCAAGGGTGACAGGCTAAAATAGCCTGTTTGGGGTTTTTGGGGTGTTGGTCTAATCGACTTGGCGAACCAGAAATAGGTTCTTAGAAACACATATACCGACAGCCTCGTGAGAAGTCCCCTACTGCATGTTTTGGACCACAACTCGCTTTGACAAGTGGCACTGACAAGTAGAAGTCATGAGCCATGTCCTTCCTTCCTCTTCGTGCAGCAGCCGCTGGCCGAAGTCGTCCGCTCCGCTCCGCGCTCGACCGGTCGCCGCTCCGGTCGCCGCTCGGTGTTTCGTTCGAAGCTGTGGAGGTTGAAGTTGGACATTGAGGGGTCTGAAGTGGAGGCCATGAAGGGTATCGACCCGACACTTGGATGGACGGACGCCACGCAAAACAAGAAGTGGCGAAACGCGGGGAGATGTTGGGTGCAGATGTTGGGAGTGGATGTTGCCAGTGAGAATGAGTTGCGCAACTACCTGGAACTCCAACATCTTCGTTTAGATGGGGCTTTAATGTAGAAATTCCATTGTCGTACAAGGTTTGCTGTTCACCCCAGTGCTTGTTGCTGCAAGGAAAGGTTTGGGAAATACATGCGCAATGCTCACACTGTATATGGAGTTTGGGCAAATTACAGTGTGGGTGATTTGTGTGTTGTCAAGCTCCTGTGTCAGCGAGATATGTGTACATTACCCTTAATTCTGCCACTTGCCGGAGATTTAATTCATGAGTCCTAGGTGCTTGCTTGATGTCACTCGGTAAGTACTGGGAGATCTTCAACATCCCCATGAGCGCATTTTGGAGTCTTTCGTTCTTCGTCCTGCCACTGGTCCGGCGGGGATTCCCTCTTCTGAAGGTTTGATGACAGGGCAATCCTCAGGGAGCCTATGTAGTCGGGGAATCCGCAGTAGGAGGAGACATCCAACTTCTTGAACATCTATGGCACTAAGGCAAAATGGCATTAGGTTGGAGGCCATCGCTATGTTTTTGTTGGATGCTTTGGATATGTTTCTCGCGGGAGTGCAGGGTCTTGACCCACATGTGAAGAAACCCTGACCCAGGGAGCCAGGCACACATTTCTTCCTCTGTACAACTGGGAGACATTTGGATATACTCTCCCTGGAACTAGCGTGGAAGTGGAAAACCACCTGTTTGTAGTGGAAAATGGTCTTCCAAGGGGCCATTCTCCACTTCCATGTTAGTTCCAGGGAGTGTAGTAATTATAGGAGAAAGGATTTGGGACCAGAGTGGATTTGGCACGTGAAAAGCCTGTGAAATCTCGTCCAGTGGCGCACAGATCATCGAGTTGTACTTGGGACAGGTGAGTCGATGTCGTGTCGTCTTGGAGTCTCTGAAGTGAACGAACATGGCCGCTGAACACCAAAACAACAGCTATGCCAAGCATGGTTTTTAGTTCGCAGCCACCCGTTCGGGAGATTCTTCTTTCTCGCAGAGCTGGGCCAGAAATGTTGGGGGATGGCAGATCAGGTGATGTGGTGGTTTTTGCCCGGTTCCTGGGTGAAACCCCTCAGGTTCCTGGGGAAGACTCTGGTGCTTTTGCGGGCTTCCTGGACAGCCGGAGACGTCCAACCCACGAGACGTCAGACGTCGGAGTGCAGCTGACGTCCATCCGCAACCAGGTCCCATTGGCAGCGTGTCCAGCGCCTGGCGGTGGAAGTGCACAGCCGAAGTGACCTGCAAAGACTCAAGGAGCGACGGTCGCGCCAGATGTTTTCGGTATAAATCTCTGCTGATCATTTAATTGTGTTGGAACGTTTTTTGGTCGGAGTCATTGAATTTTAATCAAATTATCGACTTGATGTCAACATTGAAACCATGCCGGCATGTCTACATACTGTGTTTGTGGATGGTGGGGTACCATCCTTCCGAAAACAGATGGGTTCCGGTGCGAAGCTCGGTGTGCACCACATGGCACCACGGTCCACGTCGGCCCCTCGGACACCGACGTTTCGATCGACCCAACGGCTTTAAGAGGATGAGCAGAGTGGGGAAGGGTGCAGGAAAATGACATGGGGCCTGTCATAGAGTTGGGTGAAAAAGACAAAGCTCGTCAGATGATTCCTGGCCAGCTCTCAGTGTTGCTAAGGTGTTCTTTCGCAAGACTTGACTCGGTCACTCACATCTGGACAAACCACTTTTTCAAGCCGATTCAAGCCACACTCACTTGCGAACGATCCAATGGTTCGCCCCCCCAAAGCCCTTCCACATATGTGGGGTGCCCGGGGGTAACCACTTTTTCAAGCCAAAAGTAGTGCCAAAAGTGTATGGCCGGCATGCACCGAACTGCTCCTCCGTTCCTCCTCTCAGGAGCTCTTGACCACAAGCTGGCCCAATGGCTCGTTGTGGGAAGTGCCACAGGAGCTGATTCCAGAGCACTTCATGCTGTACGGTCGGGCACGCCCAGAAAAAAGAAAGACGAGCCAGAGAGAGCGCATGGTTTCGGCGGAGGGTGAAAGAAGCATTCTGACTCACGGTTCTTTGAGGTAGGTGGATGAGGATTGTCATGGATCACATGGTCTTTTGCACCGCATGGCTGAGATCTTTGTTTCTACTTGTTCTGTTGCTGCGGAGAGATCTTGGTGTCGTGCAAATCGACCCAAGTAGATGGATTGCTTGATGGTTGGGGTGTCCCAGATGCATGTTTCTCGGGCTGTTGGTCCTGCCCCGACAGTGTTTTGGAGTCGGATGAAGAGCTTGAGCGTCGGACGTGTTGGAGCATTTCTACGAACGGAGCGATCGGACGCTACATAGGTCTCAACACCATTGGTTGCTGGCGAAACGGGCCTGCGTCAACAGTTTCGGGCCCACGGGGGCCCGTGTCTTTCCGAAAGCCAAACATCTGAGCAAAGAGAATCACGTTGATTGTTTGTTTTTGGCCCGCCCCCTCCCTCCCTACTTAACAAGAAGCTTAGTAACGGTCTTTGAAGTTACTAGTAACCATGAAGCTATGGTATTGCCCTTTGTCCCTGGCAGTCGCAGCACACCCCTTCAGTTCACAAAGGGCTTCACGGTGTCTCAGGGGTTCACTTATAGATGCACTATGCTGTTCAAGACACCCTGGGATATACTGGGATATACCAGTTCATGTAAAGAACTACCAGTTGTGTTGACGGTGTTTTCGGATCCTTGCGACCGTGTTTTGATCCAATGCTCTTCAGGTTTGCTGCCTGGTTTGCTTCAAGATGAGCCCTTAGTCGCATGCGGAAACAGTGCTGAAACCGTGGCGCTGTGGAGTGATCTGGCTGTGGGAGGGGTTACGTAATCATCACAGCAAGCCGGTGAAAGACAACTCAAAAGACAACTCATTGCAGCCTGTTACAAGTGATCTCAGCAGCATAGAGCACCATAGCATTGTCGCACGAAATCGATCCATTTCAGATGGTTCGGTGCTGCATGGATTGGTGGTTCGTTTGGTTCGTTGAAATTGACATCGCCTCCACCAAGATCTGGATCACACACATGTGGGGGGGGAATTCCCTCAAGGTCGGTTTCACGTGAAGAGTTGATACTCCCCTGCAGATGAACATGGAACCCTGGTGAATTCTCAGGTTCCATGTGAGTTTTGCGAAGGGGTATGATTGATCGGTGATTGCTGGATGTGGTTCCATGCCAAATATGACCCAGGGTGACTATGTTCCCTCGCATAAGCGGGTTTGGATCTCATGGTAGTGAAAGACCTCCTTTCTTGTGATTTGTGAAGACAACATCATTTTCCCATGCCTTTAGCTCCTGGCTCAAGTGCCAGTCTGACGATTTTTTGACATGTTTGACAATGCCATAAAAGTTACCATTTCGGGGGTATGTACAAAAATAACAATAATGTAGAATATGTTGGAATCTTCCGGGTGAACCCGCCAAAGAGTCTACTAAACCCAGCCCTCAAAACGAGTCCATCCAGCGCCAGAAACGCCTCTTCGATTTCATCCTGCAGCGGCAGCGTGCGTGCCTGCACGCGCAGGATCCGGACATGGAGACCACAGGGGGGGTGTTTCTTGGAAAACGAACATGACAGGTACAGCCACTTGATGTCCCCTCAGGTCTTTGAATGATTGACCACCGACGGATCGCATGGGCCCAAATCCCAGGACGTCCTTTTGCCTTGAATGCGCGTGAACGCGCCATGGAGCTACGAGGTGAGTGAAAAGGTTGCATCGGCTTGCATCCGACTTGGAAGGGTTTAGGCCCTTGTTGTTTTGGTCTTGGTTGACCTTCGGTTCATACAGGTTTTGAACACCCCAGTTGACAGCCTCTTTTGCTTGAGCATTGCACTTGAGCCTGCCAGCTACCAATACTGGTAGCGGAGCCCTGAACTCCAGGGCTCCCTACTGGGTTGGTGGTCTTTGCTGTTGATCTTGGATTGCCTTAGGCATTGTTGGATTGGACAGCGATCTGGCCTTCGCGGCCCGCCCTAGTGTTTGGGGCAACCGGAATTCGTTTGTTGCAGGAGCATGACATCAGTGGAACGCAAGGAACACATTGCTACATGGAATGGTGATGCAACATTGTGGCTTGACTATGTGAAGAGAGTTAGGTTGCAATATGAGAGGACGGAGCCCAAGAAGCGTTGTTTGTTGGGAGCAGAGTTGGCTAGTCGGTTGACAGGCAAAGCTTGGGATGTTGCATCGGCAGAGATCGACCACTCCAAGCTACAACAGTCGAATGGAGCATCTTACTTGTTGTCATTCCTGGAGGCGCGCCTGTGCAAGACACCAGTTCCGGACGTTGGCCAACAGTCTCGAGAACTGATTTCAAGAGCTTCAAATGCCAAGACGCGGAGGAAGACGACATTTTTGCCAGGAGATCTAGTTTATTTTAAACGGATCAAGCCGCCAGCTCAGCCTCAAAGCCATCTTCGCCTCGGTGCAGATCATGGAGCAAGAAGATTTTAGCTTTGTTTTGAGTCACTCCAAATTCATCGAGGGCATTGAACCCATCGAGTTCGAGGCCCGACAAGATCACGATCCTGTGAAAGCAGAGGAGTTGACACAGCTGCGTGGTGTGTTGGGGGCCCTGCAATGGAGGATCAACCAGAGTTCACCATTGCTTGCTGCCCGACTTGGACAGCTACAAAGCGAGATCAGCAGTGCAACAGTTGGTACATTGAGAGCCACGAACAAGTTGCTGCGTGAAGCATTCCACGGTCGCCATGTGTCAGTGCGTGTGAACCAGTTGCACGTGGGCGATCCTTTGGATGTTTGTTTCCTAGGTTGGTCAGATGCGGCATTGGCCAACCGGAAGGACCTTAGCAGCACTGGAGGCTATGTCATCGCCGCAGCATCACCCAAGATGTTGCAAGGCACCAGGAGCCCACTGTCACTGGTGTCATGGCGATCGGCTCGCTTGCAGCGAAAGGCTCGTTCGTCGTTGAGCGCAGAGACCCAAGCCCTGGCAGAATGTGATCAAGAGTTGATGTTCACTAGGCTGGCTTGGGCAGAGTTTTGTGGCATCCAAGTTGATTTGAAGCAGCCTTCACTTGCTGTACGCCGCATTTGTGGAGCGGTGATCGTGGATGCCAAAGCTTTGTACGATGTGCTCATCAAGCGAGACCTCAACTCCAGCGGTGCAGGTCTGAAAGACAAATACACCGCCCTGGAAGTGTTGTGCCTCCTTGAATCCATTGAGCGGAATTCAACGATTGTGCGATGGGTGCACAGCGAGTCACAGATCGCTGATGCGCTCACGAAGCCACTGCCTCCCGGGATCTTAGAGAAGGTCATGGTTGAGGGATCATGGACCCTTCGATATGATCCCAGCTTCACGAGTTCGAAACGACTCAAGAAGGCCGGACGCAAGAGTCCTGAGGTCGCCCCGCAATCCGTCTCTGGTCAACACTTTTGGGTTGTCTTGGAAAACGAACATGACAGGTACAGCCACTTGATGTCCCCTCAGGTCTTGGAATGATTGACCACCGACGGATCGCATGGGCCCAAATCCCAGGACGTCCTTTTGCCTTGAATGCGCGTGAACGCGCCATGGAGCTACGAGGTGAGTGAAAAGGTTGCATCGGCTTGCATCCGACTTGGAAGGGTTTAGGCCCTTGTTGTTTTGGTCTTGGTTGACCTTCGGTTCATACAGGTTTTGAACACCCCAGTTGACAGCCTCTTTTGCTTGAGCATTGCACTTGAGCCTGCCAGCTACCAATAGTGTTCATGTTCAGGATCCATCTTGGATCCATCATACCAGGGAGGCTCGTTTGGTACCACTATGCCTAAGACTGGGCCATGGGTGGGACGCTCAAACGTGGTGTTTGTTTTTACCAAAGAAAACGATGATTTTGGTGCAATGGATCAGGCTTATGAGTATACTTTTTCGAGTTGCTGGCTACTATTCGAGAATTCCCAGGTGTCGTCAAAGATTCTGCGTTCATCAGGATATTGAGTTCATGCTGGTTTGAAAGTTCAAATGCGGTTCGCTTCTATCTAAGAAAGCCAGTTGTGACCTGATCGCCCTTGATAGACTTCCTGGATGGAGGAAGCAGCGAAGCAGCGGCACTTGCTCCGTCTGCCTCTTTGATCCACACATGGAGGTAATCCCTTGTAAGGCACATATCGGCAAATGTCATTTTATACCAAGGTGATCCCTTTTAACTTTCCGAATGTCACACAGGGATAGATGCGTTGAGATCTTTTGCATTCTTTTGCTCTACCTTTCCAAGTACACATAAAACTCGTTATTGCCGACATTCTCTAAAGACTCTAAAGTGAATTTGACAAGTATGGTGCATGTTGGTTTTGGCTCTAAATTTGTCGGGGCAGTTCCGATCAGGCCTCGTTGTTTGATGAAGTTGTGGCAGTCATTCACTTAAAATCGAGACAATCCTGGTCAAACCACCCAGCACATGTTGTTTTTATCCGCTACCAGATGTTGACCCAGTTATTCATGGAGCACGGAATGATTGAATCGCTAGTTTTGACCAGCGAGACATGTTTCAAACCCAACTTCAAACTTCGCTCAAACTGAATAATAGTCAATGTTGGACTGCGATGTTGAATTAGTTTTTGGCTAGAGTCTTAGGTGTCATTTTCACTTATATAAAGCTTCCTGCACCCGCTCTGACCACGAGGTCAAGGGGCAGATAAGCAGCGAACATTGAACGCAAGTGGAACAGTTGTTCTATATAGTGCAGTTTTCATGATTGTTCCAGGAAGTAAGTATATCACTTCTTTGCTAGCATCGCAACTAGGAAGTGACTGCGTCTCAAACACCCATCGACAGTGGTTTTGTTACGTAGATGGCACCAAACCCCCAAGATGTCTGTGGTTGGTTCGCTCCACAGTTGGTGCAAAACAAGTGGAGCAAGCTGGCAGTTCTCCCTTCCAAGTCAGTGATGTTCAAGCGGTTCAAGCTACGTAACGTGTCGGTGTCACCGCCGTCGTGAAAGACGGGGCATCGAGTTCGACGGGGCTCGGTGTCGCTTGGGGTCGCTGGATGGAGTTGATCGACGGCATATGTAGCTGGAATGCGTTTTGACTTGCCCATGACGACTGGGCAATGGGCAATCTCAGTTGTCATCATACCTTTTGAGGGAAAACCAGATGAAATGATGAAATCCCTTGGAAGAGAGAGAGGGAGAGAGAATTGTTGGTTGGAGTCAGAAGTGCCGCTTCCTAACCAGGAAAAGTTGATCACCTGCCCAACCTCTATTTTCCAATCATTTCCGACATCGGGGGATCTCCGGCATCATTCACTTGGCCTCTTTGAAGGAATCCTCCACCCACAAGTGTATTGCCCCAAGACGATCACCGCAAGAACGAGCATCGCCAGGAGTTGACCGAGCCTTTTCTGTTGCTGCTGCCCTCTTGGACAGTTGGGAAGGCACGGCCGCGTGGCTTCTCAGACTCATGACCCTTGGGCTTGTGTGTCTAGTGAAGGCGCGAAGAAGTTGCACGTCTCAGCCAACACCTTGGCGGGGATTTGGTGCAGTACTGTTTGGTTCTAAGGTTTGATGATGCTGCAGTGGTTTTACGGTTTATCAGAATCATCACCAGGCTTTTGCTTGGCAGTTTCTGTACGAACTTCTGGTTCTACGGGAAGACATCTTCTCCGTCGACCACATGTTGGAGGTGTAAATGACGAGATTGATGCATGTTCCGTGTTCCCCAAAGAGGTTGTCTGTTTTCTGGACCTGCCAAGCAAGGGCCAAAAAAACTGTGTGTTCTCATTGGCAGATGGCGCTATGTTGAAGGGACAGTTTTGGCGGGTCCACATTGTCCACATCTCAACGACTTTAAGACTCCGGACCCCTCAAAATCCTCAAACAGA